TAGAAAACAAACGACACCACCCCACCTACGGCCCCAGGGGGCGTAGCGTATGCCAGCGAATTTGGCGTGACTTGTTGCGTGGTATAGGCTACGGCGCCCGATGGGCAGTGGTGCAACATGGAGGGCCGTAAGTGGTGTCGTTTGTTTGTTGGCTGGTTTGGGCTCAAGGTAGAAGTTGGGGTTCACGCAAGCCTTTTGTGCACGCTGGCCCGCTCCCCTCGAGCGGCGGACCACCCCAAGCCGGACGGCTGACGTTGGGAAGGGCGCGGCACGGCCCCATCTGCCGCCACCATCAGGGGATCAGGGGGGGGGGGGCATCCCAAGAGCTGGCCCCGCACCCTCGGGTGGGAAAACGCCGTACGATGCGACGGCGGCCCCCTGTCGAGGGAAGAAGAGGAAGGAGGAGGAGGAGGAGGAGGAGGAGGAGGAGGAGGAGGAGGAGGAGGAGGAGGAGGAGGAGGAGGAGGAGGAGGAGGAGTGAGGAGGAGGAGGAGGAGGAGGGAGGAGGAGGAGGAGGAGGAGGAGGAGGAGGAGGAGGAGGAGAGGAGGAGGAGGAGGAGGAGGAGGAGGAGGAGGATAAGGCGGGGGGACGAAGAGAGAGGAGGGGGATACGGAAAACGACACGAATCAGCATAAGCACAATAACTTTCTGGAGATCTGCATAAGCACAGAACTCAGCATAAACACCAGACCGTTCCAAGGAAAGCCGCGCGGACCCCGAACACACAAGGGGGCGGCGCGGCTTTCCTTGGCGGCGCGCACAGGGGGGTATGGGGGAGTGGGGAACACTCCTCTGCAGGAAACTGTTCTGTTGAAAGCGCCGACCCTACATCTATAGACAGGGCCCTCGCCTTCTAAGAAGCAGACTCCTTCGAAGAAGCCTTCCCCCCTCCCCCTAACCCTCCCCTGAACGCGGTCGAATCGGCGGACGTCGGCAGGCCAAGAAGGCCTCCATTGGGAAACCGAAATCCTTATCGGAATCCGAAACCAAGTCGAATCGGAATCGGAATCGATCGAAATCGAACCGAATCGAGTCGGAGTCGAAATGGCCCCTGGAGGGATGGTCAGTAGGTGGATGTTCGCGCAGGGCCTGCCCCGCAGCGGAGGAGCAGGATGAGGAGGAGAGGGGGAGGGAGGAAGGAGGGAGGAGGGAGCTGGGAGGAGGGAGGAAGAGGAGGAGCAGGATGAGGAGGGAGGAGGGAGGGAGGAGGGAGGGAGAGGGGAAGAAAGAAGAAGAGGGTGAGGCGGAGACCGAGGGGGGATGAAGGGAGGCCGAGAGCGAGGGGGAAGTGGAGAGCGAGGAGGGCGGAGGAGGAGAGAGCGGCATGTTGGCTTTAGACTCCGCGGGGCAACGTGGGGGATGCGCAGAGACGGGGCCGGCGCGACCGGCCCGAGGTCTGGGGCAGGAGCGTTTCGCCCGCAGGTTCGCGGAAACTTGCAACGCTTTCCTGCAGGGGGGCTGTCGGCCGCGATGCGCCTAGCCCCCGTGGACACGCACCGCAAGGTTAGGTGCGTGCCGGGGCTGCGGAGTACTCAGAAGGAAGAGGGGAGGAACGAGGAAGAGGGGCAGGTGGAGAGCGTGTGGGGGAGAGTCGCGAGGAGGGGGAGGGGCGCAAGGAGAAGGAGGGAGAGGCGGCGGGAACAGGAGGAGGGGAAGAAGGGCTTCCCATGCACCAGCTGTTCTTTCTTGGGGCAGGCGCCACACATGAGCAACACACAACACAAAACCAACTGGCAGATCCTGTCCGTTTGCGTTGCTGGTTTGTTGGGGGGAAGGGGGAAAGGTTCTGACGGACCTCTGGAAGTATCCAGAAACCCAAAGGGCCAAGATCGTCCAATCGTCCAAGTCCGTGGAGGTCTTCAGAAGTACCTGGAGGCTGCCATAGGCCGAATAATGGCCAAACCGTCTCAACATCTCATAGAATAGCGAAGGTCGATCCGTCTTACACTTTCGACAACCTCGAGCCTCTGCTCGGCTGGCACCCGCACGGTTCCCCCCCCTTCTGCTGGTGGCCCTCGGCGTGGCCAGCCGACCACAAGGCTGGTCGCCGATGTTGAACAAGAAGTACATGTCCGGAAGCTTCACCGCGTCCGCGATCTGCGGGCACTTCAGACGGAAGTCGGGGAGGGCGAGACCGAAGTTAAACGCGAGGCGCACCAACTGAGGAATCGTTTCGTTTCGTTCGTGACGTGCGTGCGAGGCGAAGCTGCGTGAGTTCCTGCCCTGACATGGGCCAAATCAAACCAACACGTTCCGCGCCCTGAGTCCAATCCGTGGCCCCCGGTTGCATCCGGGATGTCCCGCCGGTTGTTCTGACGATTGTCGCGACAGCTGTCCCGATGGCTGTCCCGATGGGTCGATGATTGTCCCGATGGTTGTTGCGTTGGTTGTCTCGATGGTCGTCGCGATGGTCGTCTCGCCGATGGTTGTCCCAATGGTTGTCCCGATGGTGGCTGTATCGATGGCTGTCCCGATGCGTGTCATGTTTGTTGTCCCCATACATTGTGTCCCGATAGATGGTTGTTCTGGTACATGGTTGTCTCGATGGTTGCCCTGTTGCTTGTCCCGATCGATAGATCGACAGATCGACTGATATGTTGATTGTCAGATCGATAAATCGGTATTGGTACGGGAAACCAGTACATCGAATATCGATTGGTAATGCGTTTAACCATGAAGTCTTTGATATTTTGGCAGACCCGTACATGAAGTAGTCGACTGGTACACTGGTCATCAACTATGTAGGCTGGCAACTCGACCGATGTATACTCAAGTCGAACATCGGATCTGCCGATTGATCTACAATCGGCAGGTACAGATATCGATTCGTAGATTGGTAATGTGGACCATCGCTACGGTTATCCATATCGAAGTATCGGGAGCGTTGGAAATATGAAGGTCACCACACCAATCCGACGCCAATCGAATACCAACATATGCACCAATTCCCACCCCTACCTCCGTATCACCCGACGGGTGGTCTATGCGGTATGCTATATCAGAGTGGGGGAGGGCGAGGAGGAGAACGAGGAGGAGAAATCATATTGGGAATTCGGCGAATCGGTACCGGACGACAAATCAAATTAAGTTGGACCAGTCACGCTGCAAAGTGAACCAACTCTGCACTGTGTGTGGCATACCGCGCGCGTCAGGGAGGTCGTTTCAAAGATGGCCTCCTGCCACACGTGAAGCTCTGAACTGTCCTCGGTGGGATGGGAAACAGGGGAGGAAAACGAAGGAGAAGGCGGATGAGGACGAGGAGGAGGAGGAGGGGGAGGAGGGAGAAGGAGGAAGAAGAAACAGATGAAGAGGGGGGAGGGGGGAGAGGAGGAAATCGGAAAGGAGGAGTAGAAAGAAAAGGACAATCATGAGGGGGGACCGAAAGAGGATAGTGAGGAGGAATGAAGGAGGAGGAGGAGGAGGAGGAGGAGGAGGAGGAAGAGAGAGGAGGAAGAGAGAGGAGGAGGAGGAGGAGGAGGAGGAGGAGGAGGAGGAGGAGTAGGACGAGGAGGGTCAAGCAAACCGCGTTGAGCGAGTTAGATGACCCCGACTACACAAACTATTCCCACCCTCCCCCACACAACATCTACGTAATTTGTGCCGCATTGGCGTTGGAACGCGTTCCCACCTCGCAAACGGAAGGCGCTCGCGCGCAGCCCCGCTTCCAGCGACCCTGCGAAGGGACGGCGGCGCGGGCCGCGCAAGGGCGGGGGCGGCAACTCTTCTGAGTGACGCATCGACGCAGCATTGCCACCTTCACTCACAAGCTTCGCGGCGCTAGGGCGAGGTCAGGAAATGTTGCCCGCTGCCGTGCGGCCCCGCTGTCGCGGTCGTGCCGTTCGGCGAACGAACCACACGCTTGGGCCCGGGCGAGACGGCCACTTCCCGAGCGGCACGCGTGCGGAGCCTGGGCGGGGCCGGCACGCCACGCACTCGCGCCCCTTCCCGCCAAGAGCAGGCGAGTGGCAAATCTGTGCCGCGTCGGGGCGGGAACGCCACTTTCGGGCGCACGCTGCGCGGTGCTGAAGCGAGAACTGTCTGTTCGCCCGCTCGTGCGTCGACGGGGTGGTGTGCGAGAGACGTGCGCCGCGCCCCGGCGGAAGCGCAACTCTATAGAACAATAGGTTGGCCAGATTGGGCCCCACACGCTGCGCTTCTAGATATCACTGTGGTGCCGCCTGCGTTGCACAATCCAGGTGGGGCAAGGTATGTTGTGAAATAGATGCTGTACAACCCATGCTGTGCATTCTTGATGGGGCAATACAAGTGGCGCAAACTATGTGGAACAACCTGTGTGGTGCCACATCGGTTGTGCGACATATGTTGTAAAATCTATGTTATGCAATCGGGGTGGTGCAAACCATGTGGCACTCTACGTGGTCCAACCTAGGTGATGCAAACGACGATGTGCAAGTTATGTGGGGCATTAGCGGTGGTGCAACTTCGGTGGTGCGACCTCAGCTGCACAATCTATGTTGCGCGCGCTTCATGGCGTAACCAATGTAGCGCAATCTAGGTGGGGCAATCTGTGTGGTGCACGCTATGTTGTGCAATCTATGCGGTGCAACCTATGCTGCGAAATCGAAGCGGTGCTGTCTATGTCGTGCAATCTGTGATGCGCAAGCTACGTGGTGAAGACAACCGATGTGCTGCATCATCGGTGGTGCAGTCTACGTTGTGCAATATATGCTGCGCGACCTATGGTGTGCAAGCTATGTGGTGCAACCTGCGTGGTGCAATCCGCCCTGCCGAAGTTGAAGTTGTCAAGTCCACTGTTCGCGCAATCATGCCACACACGCAACTTGGTTTGCAAAACCCCTGCAGCGGCGATTGCGATGACTGCTTGGCGCTGGCTTGCACGTCGCTTCGGCCACGTGAACGCGCGCAGGCTCACTCGCAGAGCGGCCAGCTAGTCTGGCGCGACCGACGCGGCCGCGGTGGAGCTGACCGCTGGAGACTACCCAGCGCGTCGCGCAGGCACTTCAATACGAGTCGGTGG